TTTATAATTTGCTCTAAATGAGGTTCAATTACCTAAGAGTTTGGAATTCTTTCCAAAGAGATATCAAGTTTAAATTTTGGGTCGGTGGAGAAGCATTTGCAAAAATTAAAAATTATCTCCTTTCACGTAGCCTACCGGATAACATTAGTTGTAAAAAAAAAAAATTATTTTAATCTGTATTTTTTACCTGATCAGGTGGGGAAATTGGGATTTTCATCTAAGTTTTGATGCTCGGGCAGGTCCAATCATATCACTAGCATCTATATACGACACAGAGAAGCATAAGACCCGCAGGGTGCTGTACAGAGGATTTGTATCTGAACTCTTTGTGCCATACATGGACCTAACCGAAGAATGGTACTACAGAACATTCTTTGATGCTGGCGAATATGGCTACGGTCTCTGTGCAGTGTCGCTTCAGCCTTACCGGGACTGTCCGGCCAACGCAGTATTCATGGACGCTTACATTGCAGGGCAAAATGGAATGCCTGTTAGGATGTACAACGTCTTCTGTATCTTTGAACGGTACTCCGGAGATATACTCTGGCGTCATACCGAGACTTCAGTTCCCAGTGAAGTGGTCTGTGAGGTTTTAGGGAGTTTTTTTGGTTTAAGAAGTTTTATCTTTTGAGGGATTTTTGGATGGGTTTTTTCAGGTGACAGAGGTTAGGCCAGAGGTGACTTTGGTAGTCAGGATGGTATCAACTGTTGGCAACTATGATTACATCAATGATTGGGAATTTAAGCAGAGTGGATCCATGAAAATGACGGTAATATTTACATTTTTCGAAATTTTTCTTCTTTCTTCGTATGCAAACTTGGGAGATAGGTTTTTTTTTTTTTATCAGCTTGGGAGATAGGTTTTTAATCTGAGAACTTTTAGTATCTCAGTTTATCTTTTAATCACTGTACCGAAATCTTGTCAATTCTTCTTTCTTAGGTTTCACATTTAATTTGAAAACACGAATACACACCATACATGAATTTTAACTTTTAATTATGCTTATAGGTTGGGTTAACTGGATTGCTCGAAGTAAGGGGATCAAACTACACTCACAAAGATCAAATAAAAGAGGAAGTCTATGGGACATTGTTAGCAGAAAATACATTGGGTGCACATCATGATCATTTCCTTACCTATCACCTTGACCTCGACGTGGATGGTGAAGCCAACTCCTTTGTGAAGTCGAAGCTGCAGATGACAAGGGTTCCTGACCAAAGCTCACCTAGGAAGAGTTATTGGGAGGTTGTTAGTGAGACAGCTAAAACAGAGTCAGATGCTAAAGTTAAGCTTGGGTTAGAGTCAGCTGATCTGCTTGTGGTGAATCCTAGCAAGAAGACTAGAATTGGTAATTTTGTTGGCTACCGTCTGATCCCAGGGTCAGTTGTGGGTCCCCTTCTATCGGATGATGATTATGCACAGATCAGGGGAGCCTTTACCATGTACAATCTGTGGGTCACACCATATAACAAGTCTGAAAAATGGGCAGGGGGATTGTATGCTGATCAAAGCCGAGGAGATGACAACTTAGCTGCATGGACCAGCAGGTACATATATTTATATACATACTACTTTATGACTGGGAGATATTAGCATGATTTCCATCATAATCTTTATGATGCAGAAGACATTGTAATGTACTTCTCCTAAAATTTAATTATTGATGCAGGAATAGGGAAATAGAGAACAAGGACATTGTATTATGGTACACAGTAGGTTTTCATCATGTGCCATACCAGGAAGATTTTCCAGTAATGCCAACATTAAGCAGTGGATTTGAGCTTCGACCATCAAATTTCTTCGAGAACAATCCAATGCTCAAAGTCAAGCCACTTAAAGTTGTCAGGTCTTCTAATTGATCCACATCATCCATTGCTTATTTTGAGTTAGAATCTAGGTTGATCATGCATGCTTGACAAACGCTAATAGTCATTAATTTGATTATGTCTTTGTGTGCCAACTGCCAAGCATCTAATTCTAAGATTCTTGGGAGCAAGATAACACATAGATTACTACATTTATAAGACATCATTTCATATTTTTTTAATCTGATCTTGGTTATTCTGAAGTTTCTTGCATACCACTCACCATTGGTTAGTACGGGGAAATTGCCACAAACACAGCTCTTAGACTTGCATGCTTCTAACGAGAGGAAAACCATATTATTGTCCTTGCATGGTCTGTTGAAGCCTTGAAGGAATTAGCATGCTTCTAGATGTTGATCAAGTGCAAATCACAACGTACGTTAATAGATTTAGAGTCCCTTTGCCTAAGGAACACGGAACTGATTTTCGATTATTAGACAAACAAATCTATCATTTGTAATCAATGTTTTAAAAATCGACTCAGAGATCAAACCGTTTTAACCTCTAGGTTTTGGTTTAATCAATTTAATTGGTTGAATCGTTAAAATCGTTGATTCAATTATATATCAATAAATATAATGTTGTGTAGCATTTAATAATAGCCTTGAAATAGTTTCAATGGTGTGTTGTCTCCTTGGTCAAAATGAGAATGGAGAATGGAGGTTCGAGCACAGGAGATGTTAAAATTTAATTAATATGTTTTTAACCTGTTAATTCATAATATATTAATAGGTTTTTATTATATAGGTTAAAAATATAATAAATATAATTTTGTAATTAATTTATATAAAAAGTTGTAAAAATTGACTTTAAATTAATTAATTAATTAAAATTATCAATATAATTGTCAATTCTTATAATTTTTTATATAAATTAATTATAAATAAATATAAAAATTTATATTATTATGTTTCTAACTTATAATATATTAATAGGCTTTTCTTACACATAAGTTAAATGTATAATAAATACAATTTTTTTATAATTTTAAATTAATTAATTAACCAATTAAAATTATCTATATGTTAATAGTGTTAAAATAAATATTAA